TCCACGGTCCTACTCTGGAAATGATGATGCATACAATGGACTTCGGACAAGGTGTGTTTCTCTAAGTCTTCCTAACAATATGACCGAGTTGCTAAATCAAGGTCAAACAACTTCTATACAACGAAAGGAGACTGCTACCGCACAAAAGGCCACACCATCTTGGTCTTCATACCTCCACGAGTACATTCGAGTCACAGAGCAGACGTGAATTTCAAAGAAAGGCAGGCCTTTCCCATTTAACTTTTTGCAATGGAGTATTTGATGAAGCCAGATTATATTTGCTATAGCATTGATTACAATACATACTTTTGTTATGTATGATCTACTCGTAGTCTCGAAAGCATACTTGTAGATAAAAATAAGTAATGCGTTCGCTTGATATAGCAAATTCAACTTTGCCTCATCGACACTCCGAAAACAGTAAGTGATATGGGAAAGGCCTGGCCTTTCTGGGCTGCACTACCCTGTTTCGAGTCCTGCTGATGAGACCTAGGCGAAGTTGAGGCTTTAGTCCGCTCCAGCCGGAAGGGTAATACATTTTGGGAAGCAAGCCTATGGGAAATTAGATTTATACGTGAGGCCTACTTATATAATTGTGGGAAAATACAATTGCTAGCCATTCATATTCTTTAATGAATTGGGGCGGGTGCATATAATAAATAAATATTTCTTTTGTCAACGGTAGAACTGAACTTTGATTACTTTTTTGAAGATGCTTGAAATTGCCCCCTTAAAATTATGCCTATACACTACATATCGCTTGTTGGTTGTTCTGAATGGTATTGTATGATTATCCTCTGATTACCTCCCGGCAGGACGACATCGTTATGGGGGCTCTGACAGTTCGGGAAAATATTGCCTTTTCTGCAGCCCTACGCTTGTCCGCTGATATTGACGCCAAAACGAAGCACGCTCGGGTCAACCAAGTACTGGCTGAGCTCGGCTTGAATGCAGTCGCAGATGTAAAGGTGATGCTAATGTTGAAAACTCGCATGCATTACTCATATAGGGTTTACTGGTCTTCTGTATTTTTCGAATTAAGTATTGTTTTCGTGACTACCAGTAAATCAGTAATATGACAAGTATTCACCCAATTTCGTTTAAGGTGATGAAGGACTGATATAAGAAGAATTTTCCCACAATGATATGAGTAGAGCTGACGTTTCCATTCAATTTCACATAGCCTTGCTTTCCTAAAAGTTGTTCTCATCCAGGCAGAAGTGGATTGCAGTTTCGACCTCGCATCGGTCTTATCAACACCCTCAGCGGGAGTCGAACCGCGAAGGTGCAGGATGAGAGCTTGACACGCTAACCACTCGGCTACACTGCCACGAGCGCCTTTTGGGTTACATGGCAAATGTGAATTTTCAAGGAAGGCCAGGCCTTTTTGCCATATCCTATTCTTTTGGTGGGATTATCGATGAAGCAAACGTATATTTGCTATAACAATCGACTACTATACTTTATTTTTTGAATTAAGTATTGTTTTAGTGACTACCATTGAATAAGTAATATGAGAAGTATTCACCCAATTTCGTTTAAGTTGATAAAGGACTGGTAGAAGAAGAATTTTCTCACGATGATATGAATTGAGCTGACGTTTCCATTGAATTTCTACCAGTCCTTCATCACCTTAAACGAAATTGGGTGAATACTTCTCATGGTCTTCTGTAATCGATCCTCTTTGGAAGTCAAGTGAACAGGCTTGTCACGCAGTTAACATGTATGAAATTATACGGTATACCTTTTTTGATTTCCCTAGGCTTGCTAGGATCCTAAGTCACAGGCGGTTGCTTCCTAATATGCAGCCTCAACTCTCGCCACACCAGTGAGCCACTTTAGGCTACTTCGCTTGCTCTGAAGAGTTATTCACCCACTCCCGATGATTTACGGTTTTAGATGGATTGTAGTGATTCTAGGGTCATAATGATCCTTTTAAGTATGCAAACTGCATGGAGGACTACTGATTCAGTAGTAGTTAACTTCGAATCCTATGTCATTTTATCCATATTTGAGGACAGCCACCATTTAAGCGGGCTCTTCTTCTGCTAATAAGCCATAATAATAAGCGAAACCTACATAAATTATTTTTATTTTCTTCCTAATATTATCGT